TTTTTTAAGCAGCTGAAAGCCAGTTGGGTCAATTTTCCATAGGAAAATCCCCTGCTCTATTGGGCTTTAGGACAATTAATTTTAAGCCACCACCCTCATCAAAGCAGCACTATAGCCAACACACCTCTGTGCAATTCTCCTCACCTGCTCTTTGGTATTTTCTGACTCTCACACTCAAGCCAGGCTGAAACCAAAACTAATCTCCTGCCTGCCTGGGTGTGAATAACCTCCCCTGTTCCCAGACAGTGCTGCTGGCAGGAGGGAGCTGATGCCAAGCACCTCTCTGATGGTGAATGGATGCACCCCAGGGCTGGAGGGATGAAGTAATTCACACCCTGAAGCTGTACCTCCAGCCTGTGTTGTACCTCGGGGACATGAAACAGCCTGGAGAGGAGGGGTGATGGCTGAGCTGATGAATGGCACTGAATCAGATCTGGTGGAATTGTGTCCCATAAAAGCGTCCGTGTACAGACAGAAGCTTCTCATGGTTGGGCTGAAATAGGACATGGGATCCAGTATGCTACAATGGGCATCATACTCTAATTTGAGATTTTAGCTGCCTCAAAATTCCTCTCCCATCTGAGTGCAACTCCCAATGCAGGGTGACTCTGGCAATTCATATCTGGTCCTGTTCCTGCACAGTCTGATCCATAGCCCAAGCCATGCAAAAATGACCTGCTTTTAAGTGGTTTAAGTGCATGCATGAATAGAAGTTTCACCAATTTACTTTAACAACATCCTTTAGTCCAAGTGTAGATGAAATGTGCCATTTCCTTCCCCCATGGGATCAGGCTCTGGTGGGGGCTGCAGTGCTGGTCTTCAATCCCATTTTCATCCCTTTCCTGCTGCTCACCTCCTGCTGAAGTCACTGTCACCAGGTATCTTGGCTGGGTTTTGCTTTGCTTTCCCTGGGTATGACCCGGGGTAGCAGTTCTGCTCCCCTTCAACAAATCTGCTGGCTACTGGGCAAGACACACCTTTCCTGGGCTTCCCTTCAAATACACCCTGGGTGGCCCGGGGAATCTCACCGAGTGGCTGACAAGGGCTAATTGCATCTTTTAATTAAGTGACCTGCAGCCCATGCCATAGGTGCTGTGCTTCTCCAGAATATGGAGCTACTCATGCCCCAGCCTGGAGGGGATGGTTTGGTGTTTTCCTGTGCTTCCCCTTCAGTACGATGGACACGGAGTTCCCTGGGCAGCGTGCAAGGGGGAGAGTTCCAGGAAGATCAGAGAAACGCTCCACAGTGGGACTTTTCACTTATTTAACGCGGTAAATGGTCACTGATTTGGCTCAATAAATAAAGCCAGGAGCGGGTAGGTCGCCCGAGGCTGCGCGATGGATCTGCGAGGCGGGAGAGCCTCCTGCTGGAGAGACACGGCGGGACGCAGGATGCGAGATGCAGGATACAGGATGCTGGGTGAGGGATGCGGGATGCTGGATGCAGGATGCGGGATGCTGGATGCGGGATGTGGGATGCAGGATGCGGGCTGCGGGCTGCGGGATGCTGGATGCAGGATGCAGGATGTGTGATGCGGGATGCGGGATGCTGGATGTGGGATGTGAGGCGCAGGCAGCTGCCTCTGCCCGCTGTCCCCACAGAGTGATGAAGACTGCTTACTGCTCATTTTTGGAACCACTTTCTTAATCCTTGTGGTTGCGCCTCTGCCTCCCTTGCATCTCCTCCAGCCATTATTCCTTTGCCTCCAGGAGCTGAGGCTTGGTACCCCATGGCACCTCTGGAGCAACCCCGGGATATCCAAGAGGGGGCCACTGCTGGTGCTCAGGGCTGGGGCATGCAAGTAACATCCAAAAGCCACAGGAGTGGGGAGTGTTTCTGATGTGATGCTAGGCAGTTCCTTGGCTGTGTTACTGCCACAGTATTTGTCTCCATCTGCCTTTCCTGACATTGTGCTCTGCCAGGGACTCCATGCCAGGCAGTTAAGGAAAGGGCAGCGAGCTCTGGAGAAAGGCAGCAAAGACATGGAATCATAGAGCTATGGAATTGTTAAGGCTGGAAGATATCTCTAAGATCATTAAATCCAACCATTAATCAGCACTGCAAAGCCCACTGCTAAACCATGTCCCTGGGTGCCACATCTACATATTTTTGAACCCTTCCAGGGATGATAATACCACCACTTCCCTGGACAGCCTATTTCAATGCCTGACCACTCCTTCAGCAAAGAAATTTCTCTTAACATCCAATCTAAATCCCTGCGCCAATTTGAGGTAATTTCCTCTGTCCTGCCACTCATTGTGTGGGAGAAAAGAGCAAATCCCACCAGGCTACACCCTCCTTTCAGGGAGTTATAGTGTGTGATAAGGTCATCCCTGGGCCTCCTTTTATCCAGGATAAAACCTCCCAGAAGCTTCTCATAGGATTTGTGTTCCAGACCCTTCCTCAGCTTTGTTGCCCTTCTCTGGTCACACTCCAGCACCTCTGTGTCTTTCCTGTAGTGAGGATGCCAAAATTGAATTCATGCTAAGGCATGGAACAGCATCCCACAAAGGCTCTAAGCTCAGCCCCTGAGCCAGGCAGTACTTACACCTGTTTTAGCAGTTAAACTTGATGATCTCAGAGGTGCTTTTGAACCTGAAGAATTCTATGATTCCATGATATAGTTAGACCTTTTTAAAACCAGGTGCAACATGAAGGGAGGTGACTTGTCCTGGTGTTACTCCTTTGTAGGTGTCTGCTCCCAGCCCTGGTTGAGTCAAAGTGGGCTGCTGGTTGGAGTCAGCATGGCTGCCCCAAGCAGGGACAGAGAAACAACTTAATCTGAGCTCTGGGTTCCAGCAGATGAAAGCTCTGCTAACACACCTAAGGCATTACCACTCACAGATGGCTGCTCTGTCCCTCTGCCAGGACAGACACGCTTCCTAGCTGGAGTAGGTGGAGGGAGAATCTGTCTGGGTTTCAGTCACCTGGAGCTGCTGCTGGCCTCCCTGTGCAAGCTCACCTTGGCCCTCAGGTGAGAGGATGGACTGTAAAGCCAAGCTGCAGATGCAGATGTCCAGGAAGATGTCCAGAAGAGCCACGCATTAGCCTGCAGCAGGGAGTGGCCCAGGCATGTGAGGGTGATGACACTTTGCCCACTTCCACAGCTGCCAGGACTTGCCAGCAACTTGTTTGCACAGCGAGCAAAGCTGAGGAACGAGCATTTTGCAAAATTATAGCCTCACCTATTATGCACTGATTTCTTATAGCTGAATTCTGATAAATGCACTGGCTTATTAGATTTCTTTTGGGCCATAAAGTCTTATTATCTCAGGGATGCCCCCAAACCTGATCTCCCTACATTAGAGGAATGTCTTTTCAGTGTTTTTTTCCAGAGTGGCTTCCCGAGACCCAGCACAGGTGAATGCATCTCCTTTATGGGCACCCTAAAAGTGCATTTTCTTTCTTAGCATGGTTTGAACATCATGGGACCCTGCATTGTGCATACTGCTGTGCAGTGCAAACCTAGATAAATTCCCTTTGAATCTCACATCCTCTCCATTGACTGTGATGAGTCTGAGTGTCACCTCCTTAAATCAGAGGAGTGAATACAATTTGCCTTATTCCTTCTGGGAAAAAAAAACCCACAAAGCAACAGAGCACAGAGTAGCACAGCTTTATTTCCATATTTTGACCAGAAATGAATTCTATATAGAGCAGAGAGAGATGTAACACGAGCCCCAAGAAGGTTCTTACATTCAGGCATAAATTGCCTGACGCTCTTCGTTATTTACAGCCCTGGTGGCGTTGCCAGCAGCTGCCCCCGCTCCCGCCAGCTGTGCGGTGTGTGCAGCTCACACAACATCTGCACACAGCTGCCTGCCAAGGAAACCCGGCCCGCTGCCCCGTGCCAGCTAGGAAATGCAGACAGGGAACAAAGCAGCCGGCAGGCAGGGAGATCCGCGGGGAAGAGCGAGTCCGGATTTCTTGGCTAGCAAGACATAAATCCTCTTTGTTTTGGTGAGGAGGGCTTCTGCCCTTGGAGCGGGGCTGGTGGGGTGGGAGCTTCAGGCTGTGCTGCTGACAGGAGTTGAGAGGAGAAAAGGAATTCCCGGTGTTGCTGATAAAGGCACATTCAATCGCCTTCAATGTGGTTTTCCTGCCCTGAGCCAGTCGCTGCCCTGCTGTCGTGGACAGAGCAGAGATGAACGGGATGGAGGTGGGTGCCCAGGAGCAAGGGGGCAGCAGGGTCTGGGGAGCTGAGAATGAAGTGGTCCACAGCTGCTGCCTCTCCAGCTCCTGGGGGGAATACTGTGCCGGGCTCCAGCCGATCTGGCATGTATCCTCGAAAGAGGCACTGTGGCTGGGAAAGAGGTGTATGTGCCGGCAGCACCAGCCAGAAAGCAAAAAAGGTAAGCCAGGATGGGGGCAGGCTGGGACTCGTGGCAGGGCTATAACTTGAGCTATAACTTGAGTTGGCTCCTTCTGGGATTTCTCTCTGCCTTCTTTTGCATCTACTGGAAAACTTTTTTGTAAGTCACTTAAATTACATTTAGGAAGGATTTTTACTGTGCCTCAAACCTCTAGGAAGCAGCATACCTGTGCTGGATGACACAACAATCCCTGGGCTCTGCTCCACACCCTGCTCCCAGGGATACGTAGTGATGTCTGATAAGGTGAGAGAAGAGCAGCTGGATGACCCCTCACAACAGTGGTGCAACTCCCACTGAGGCATGGCACAGCAGTCATCTTTTAAAGCTGTTTTTACATATCATGCCGTGTCTGGGCTGAGGCTGCAGCTCTCTCTTGAGATAGCAGAAACATTTACCTCTCACACAGCTGCTGCTTTCTGTTTAGAAGCAGCTGAAGAGCAGAGGGGACCAGAGCAGTAACGAGCTGGAGATGTGTTATGAAGACCAGGCAGTCACTTGAGTCCCTTCCCACTGGTACCTTCTGCCTCCTATGAATGCCAAAGTATGCAGTGGCTGAGTTCAGGAAGGAACAACCCACAAGTTTCACATATCAGGCAATTTCTGTATGTTAGAAAATACATACAACACAATAATCAGATTCGTTTTATTAAAAAACTTGCAATAAAATTCCTTGGAATTCACCATCTCAACTTTGAGAGTTGCAATATTTTACTAGTACGTAATAACACAGTCTCACATATTTACATTATAATCCTTTATATAACAAAAATAGCCATATTGGACTACTGATTAATGCTTCCAAATATTAGCCTCAACATTTTGGTATTTCCCCCTTTCCCCCAGCTGAGTCACTGTCTATGCTCTTTAGCATTTACAGTATCTAACAAAGCAAAAAGGACAGAAAACAATAAAAAGTATGTGTCTCATGATTTCAGGCAAATCCCTTTCAGATGGTAGTTCTCCGACTCCCACATTTTTCAAGAGAGATAAAGTGCATTGGAGAGGAAGATGTCTATGTTATAAAATGTCAGCAAAGAGTTAAAAGTTTATATGCAAGATTGTACAGAAGGGAAAAAAGGCAAAAAACAAATCTTCACAAACTACTACTGCACAGCTTTGGCAGCACGTCACAGGTAGCGGGGAAAGGGAGGGAATGAAAAAGCCAACTACAAGAAAAAGGATGGCCCATGCCATCCATTCCCAAAAATGCCACAGTATGACTTTGCCATGACCTTTTGGTAGGTGTTTCCCAAACCAAAGCTGCAGCATAGCCAGAGCCACAGTGCAGGAGTATAACAACCCTGCATCCCCCCAGCTTGTTGAGGCTGGTGGCTCTGCCAGGCAAGGGACAGAGAACTGAAGCCTCCCAGTAAATCTGCCCCTGCTGCCCAGAGCAGGACTGATTACTTTGGAGAATTTCACTGGGACAGACCATTGTCTCTGAATTTAATGAAGTTATTTTGTTAAGCTGTGCACTGATCCATGTGGTATTTATTTCGTCTGGGATTTGAATTCCCTTTATAACACTGGCATTTGCTGGTATGGCTCTGCTGCATGTGAGAAGAGACATGGCTGGAAAAAGCTTTGTAGCCATCATTGAAAACCAGGATCCTGATGCTTTGTTCAGGAACTGCATATAAGTGGGATGTCACCTTTTTATTTTGGTTTGCTTATAAACTACTCTAAATAGAAATAATTCTCTTCTGGAAATGGACGGAATGTATATTTTGACAAGTACAAAACCATTTTAAATGTTCACTAAATACAAGGAACATCTTGGTATAAAAATAACAGACCCTCCCACCCACTGTCCCCTCTTTACATATCTAATTATAAAATGGTACAGTCATTTCAGGTTCCTAACATGAAACAAGTGTTGAGGATGGCATTACATACACATATAAAACATTTAGATATTTGACATCTGAAATAACTGTATACATTCAGAGCAAACAAGCATCTTGATCGGGCTGTTATGTTTAATGCTACTCAGGACCAAGAATCAAGAAATACACAAGAAAGGGAAAAGACTATTACTACTTTTTTTTCCCCTTCTTTTTTTCTTTTTCCATTCACTACAGAAAGAAGTAACTTCCACCAATTCACAATTAAAATGTTTGAGAGAGAGAAGATTAATTTCAGATGGAAAAATCATCCATTGGCTTTTCATTCAAAATCCACATCTTTCATTTCTTTATTTCTCCCTTTGAAATACAGCTCCCGCTTAGAAGGGTGTTTCCTTGAAAAAGAAATGGGCAGATAAAGAGGCCAAGAGGGTGTCCAGCCCAGTGGGGTAAGTGACACGGCAAAGGGGCAGCCCTCACCCTCACTCCCTGCCCCAACCTGCAGCTGCCATCTGCTTCACAAACAAATCCTCCCTGAACAGTCCATCTGACATCCCTCATTCTCTGAAACTATCAATTAGTTCAGGTTACAGCTTGGTAAAATGAAAGCAGTTCTTATTTTGGATCAATTCCCCCTGTTTAAGAATCCTGTGAAAGAAACACCTCCAGCCCCATTTTCTCTCAGCCCTAAACCAGTCCCCGTTGTGTCCCCTGCTTACTCTAACCAAACCCATTCACTGCCATGCTGCTGCCCCAAATACACTCACACGTTTTTGCAGCTACAAAACAGATGAGTCCACATGGGCTCAGTGCTCATCAACAAAGTTCCAGTGCCAGGGTCAGCACCAGCCATGAAGAAGCTTGGCTGTCCCAGCCTGCTGAAAGCCCCTGGCCTGTTTCTCATGGGGCCCTGGAGATGAACTTGGGCAAGATCTCTTCCCTTCTCCAACCTGCTCTGAGAGATACTGGCAGCACAAAACACAGGAAAGGAAGCAGCAGGTTTGATCCCATGATCTCCTTTCCCTGCAACAAAGGCTCACCCTTGGACAAACACTTGTGAGATGGGCTGGGAAGGAATAGGGTGGATTTCTCTGCCATTTTAGTCCTGCAAAATGATGCACCCCAACAACTTTTTGCAATGACTTCCTTGGGATTTGATCCAAGGGTCCTTAGTGAGATCCAAGGACCACTTATCATATGTGATTTCAGTAATTTCTTTTTCCAAATTGCCTCTATAAAACCTTTTTCTTTGTGACACAATCTACCTCAAATAAAATGCCTAAAAATGACAACTGCTTCTGATTTCACAACAGTACAGTTTCCATACTCACATCAATGCACTTTCATATGCATACATGTCAAGTTAATTCTATAGAGTGCTTAAAGAGTGAACTGCAGTGCTATGATAGTCCTGATCCTGGTTTTAGGGCTTTAAAGCAGTCAGAAAATAAAAAAACCCCAAACTCTCAGTAAGTGCCAGATCTGTATCCTCACCAGAATAGGTGAGCTGTGGGGAAGGGATGTAGACCTGGTGCCTTGCACATCTGCATGCACACATCAGGTCGTTTGTGAGTGCAAAATTCTGCCTATGCATATGCATCCTACCTATTGAACAGACCTTTGGACCTATTGAACAGACCTTTGGGAAGGCACCTTAGTGAAACCCAAAAATCCAAGTATTCTCTGAGTACAGTTTCTGTCTCACCAGGTTTTATCCTGCAACCCAGCCTGAGTGATGATGAGCCTCACTAAGGCAAATGTTTCTCCCACCTACCACTTGCTCATGGACAAGTGCTTCAGATGACAAGACAGGAATTGCTGGGAGAAGTACAGGACCAACTCAATGAAAAGAGTGCCTTTTCCTGGGAGCCACACAATCCCCTGGCCACTGCCCCTGTGCAGGAGGTGCCCCCCACTCAGTCATGGTGCCAGCCTGCAGAATTATATCCATGAACACTTGCTTGTCAGAGGGCTCTAGAGGATTTTTCTCTTTCCTGGCTGCATGCTAAAGGCTGCTCTCCCTTCTGAACAGCCAGTACTGCATCCCCAGCAGCTAAGCCCCACCTACTTAATGCCCAGGCTTAGTGGGCAGCAGTACCAAGGTGTGCATGGGCACACAGATATACAGAATTAAGGCTTTCATACATGTTACAAACACATGCCAGGGGGTCTTAATGTTTATGAAGCACCTCAAATTCCCAAGGTAGTTCACGGGTTATATATTGTCAGTCAGGTCAAGCTTCAGAAAAACATTTCTTTTTGACACAGGCGCTTAATTATGCTCATAGAAGACTTGTTCAAAATAATGCAATTTTGATACAAGTCCAAAATTAATTGTGTTTCTTTGAAGAAGGATGGAATAAAACATTTACCTAAGTGCTTTCCTAAGTTCAGGCTTCAGTGATGTGTAACCCAGCTTTGCCCTCATCATCGCTTAACAGTGCTCAGAGCTGCAGAATGCTTGAGGACAGGGATGGAACAACATCTTCCCTGAGTGAACCTGCAGGTAGAACTGGGAAAACAAAAGTAGAAAGCCTCCTGACCCAGATTTGTTAGGATGCCTCTTCTAAAAGGCATATCAATAACTGGTGATATATCAAAACAACCCACCCAGCTTGGCACCCTGCCTCTGCTAGTGGCCACCTGTGGACCCTGAGGGACCAGATTTAATATGGGATATTTAGGAAAAGTGTGTGCACAGCACGAGACCTCTACAAAGTTCCTCACTAACTGTCAGAAATACAGGCAGGGTCTGAATTACCAAATCTGTGGTGCCTTTTTGAGCACAGCTCCCTTTAATGATTTGCTGGGCAAAGGACCCAGCTCAGTATCAGCTGGGAGTTTCCCCTCCTGCCTCACTTTTCCAGATTTTGCTTGTTCTGCTGTGCCTTGGGTGTTTCTGCTACAGCAACAGCTAATTGGTCAATCTATCCATTGAGATCAACTCAATTCAGTTCATGAAATAAAATGAAGACTTTGTGACAGCTCCTCTGAAACCCAAGCAGTTTGGCCAAGAGTTCTCTGCCTGTATGCTGAGCTACAGTGTGCCTGTGTGAAAGGATCACTGACAACTTGGACATCGTGTTTGTGATGTTCCTGTGACATGTAGCACCCAGGCTCCAGTGCTGCAGAAGAAATTGTACCAGTGTGTGGGCTTTCTAAAAGGAAACCTGACTGTATATAACCAGCCTCACTCCTTCCCCTGCAGTTGTTTGAAATGAATTTCATTCCTGGGTCAAAATTTGATGTAAGCACCACTTAAATATGATTTCAGCATTTTTACAGAGCTTAAGTGGAGCTGATGCAGTACCTTGTGCAAACTCTCATATGTAGGGATCAATTTCAACACTGATGTGTCAGGCCTTTCCCATAGCAGCAAGGAGTAGAGAAGACATAAAAGAATAAGAAAAACAAGATTACAGAACCACAAATATTGTCAAGACTAACCTAGTGTACCCTCTGGAACAGTCTGTAACTTTCTTTTTTAACAAAGATTTCCAGCTGCCTCTATCTCTTTAATTGAAAAAAGATTCTCATTACAACAGCCTCTAAAGATGTAACAACACATTTATGGGTCATTTACATAGAATCACAGAATGGCTTGGGTTGGAAAGGACATTAAAGACCATCTAGTTCCAAACCCTCTGCCCTAGACCAAGTTGCTCAGAGCTCCATCCAACCTGGCCTTGAACACTTTCAGGGATGGGGCATCCATAGCTTCTCTGGGCAGCCTCACCACCCTCACAGTAATAACTTATTTCTAATATCTAATCTAAATCTGCCCTCTCTGAGTTTAAAATCTTTACCTCAAGATTACCCCGCAATATAGAGACTAAGAACACAGAACAAAATTAAACTAAATGTTTAATCAGTCCTAAATGGACAAAAGAGCATGGAGAGTATTTTTTCCTTCTTTCTGTACTGAAGAAGCAAGTCAGCCAAAATTTTAGGGATAAACATATTTGTTCCTGCATAAAATATGACAAACACAAATTTTGGCTGGAAGCTGGTTTTCACATTTAACAAGTAAATCCACAATGAGATTAAATGCAGTGAGCCCCAACAGTTGCATTTTGAGATGCCACCATAACACTGTAAAGTCAAAATGTTTGACCTCTGCATGAAATTTCAATGTAACATGAATTGTTGATTCTGTGAACTGATTCACGAGGCAGTAATGTGATTCAAATCATCTGATTCTCAACAGAAACTATGTATTCCTGTGTAACAGTTAGCTTCTTCACAGTTGACTATTTTCACTGAAAAACTGTATCACCCACTGAACAATTAACAATGAGCTCTTACCTGGAAAGCAGAGCTCAGGATGAAATAAATTATTATGTCAGGTCATTATTATTTAGGTGTTTTGATTTATACTAGTTCTTTTATTTTCATATTCCTTCTCCAATATATTTTGGTGTATGTATCTGTATACAAATTGCAAATATTCTGTTATACTTCTGACACCATTGATAGGGACTCTGGAGGGCAACAAACAACCTGAACTCTTGTTAGATAACAAGCAGACAAAAACTGCTGCCAAAATGTAAGAAATGAAACACACTAAGGGAAAAGACCCAAAGCAAACCAGGAATTAAACATTTCAAACAGCTGTTTCTTGCTCCCTTAGCAATTTCTGACACTGACAGCAGCATCTCCAGTCCCTTTGTATGAATACTGTCATCTGCTTAATGCAGAACTGTTAATAAGCACTCTCTGGAAACCTCTCAGATGCTCCTTCCGCCCACTGATCTGGTTTTGGTCTGTAAAATTAAGAAGTGATGTTATGCTAGATCTCTTTTTCCAGCTACTGAATTGTCACTTGGAGGAAGGACACTAATGTAATGACACCTGTGAATAGCATAAAATACAGGACAGGACTACATGGATAGAGTGATTCTTTAAGCTCTTCTTTCTCTTCTTCACATTGTACAATATTTGTCTAGAACAGAGCTCTAAGTAAGAGACAAACTGATGCCATTTTAACCCAAATTTCTGCTCATTCAGAGCTCTCTTACAAATAAAAGCCTTCAGAATATACCATTTCCAAGCCTGCCACTTAATGAAGGCAGGTGTTACATTAATGCAGGGTGCTGGTGCATCATCCTTCTGAAGCCAGCCACATGTAATTCATGCAGATATAACAAGGCAATGATAAATCCTGGTCAGATCATGAAGTGACCAGTGAACGGGAATTCAGATTTCTGGACTGAACTCTTGAAAAAGCTGGGGTCAGTCAATAAAAACAGAGCGTCCATCCATAACAAACTATAAACAAACAAACAAACAAACAAAATAAACATATGCCTTTTCAAAAAAAACACAACAAAAATTTGATAGAACAAGTGTAAAAAACACTCAAGCTGTCATTTCAGTCACATGTTTATGAGCCCCTGGAGAGTTCCATGACTGCTCTCGAGCACATGGGCAAACTGGAAGTGTCCATTTCCCACGTGAAGGTGTGTAGATGATGAAACCGCATCCAGGCAGACACAACAGATGCTATTGCTTTTCATGACCATTTCAGAATGGAGTGTTCAGGAGTGACAGTGCTCTGGAGGCATATGCATGACTGGTCCAAATCCTAGCAAGCTGACTCAGTCCCTACCTGTGACACTCCCCTGCAGTTTAGTGTGGGATCTCTGTTTTTCAAGATTTCACCTCTTCGCAGTCTTGATCAGTGGAAAGCTCCACATCGGAGAGTCCAACCTCCATCGCCATAATTAACGAAATATCTGAATCACTGCTGACTGCTGGCTCCTGGTCATCTGTGAGGGTAGAAAAGACAGGAAAAGCTCATGTCTTTCTGTTAATGTATTACTAATTTTTAGTTCTGCCGGTGGAATCCAGAAGTCTCTCCACCACTGAGACTGTGATTACAAACTTTGCTCTTATTCAATATCTGTCTAAAACACTTCAAAAACACCTCAAAATTCAAACCGTTCATAGTGAAAAACATGATGAAAAGGAGCCTGGATGGATAACATTTTCTTCTCTTAATCCTCCCAGGGCTTTTCATCCAGATCCTTCATGAACTTCCTCCCACCATGTGAGAATTTCCCTCCCTGTCCCCTTTCACTTTCTCAACTTGGTATCATCCTACCCTCCCCACAAAGATAGCAAGCTAATGACAAAGCCACAGGTACCTGGTGGAGCAACTCAGTCATCAGGAAAACATTCCTAACAGGAAAAAAATCTGCCCAAACCCTCATTAAGCAACAGAATCTCAGAGGACATTTTTAAGAGAGCACTAGTCTAAATGTAGGAACATTGGCATTAGACAAGGAAAAAACAAATCCAGGACTTTGGATCAGGCTATCTGCCTTCTCAAGTGGCTTCTCTCATCATTTTCTACTCTGCTTAAATTCACTGTTTCCTCTGATTTGAAGATACCTTGCAGGTTCTTGATCTAGACCAAAGGGATCTACCTTAATGCACCATGAGCCCAAATACACTAAGAGTTGTATTGTTGACTTCTGCCAAACTGCAAATCACATAGTTGGAAGAGCAACTTGTTTTTGTTTTGATCCCACAGCACTTACCATATGTATATTTAGCAGCAAATAAACCCAACAGATTTTAAAGGACTAAAAGGCAATTTTCTTCCAAGAACAATCAGAAGCAAAGCACACTAGGGAGATTTTCAAAGGCACAAAACCCTCATAGGTGGCTGAGTCCCTGAGAGAAAAAATTTGATGGTTCATATTTTCAAGTGGTTTAATTACAAAGATGGTATTTATACTGTAACAATACAATGTATTTAAATCTGTGGCAGTTTTTCCTTTACATATTTTACTTTTCAGACAATAGAAGCAGAGCCTGATTGATGTTAAAAAGTCTAGAAGTTGAATATCTAAGAATTAATAAGTAAGAAACATGACAGAGGAGCCAGGAAAATAATAACTCCTCACAGTTTAATTATTCACTTGAAGCTAAGTGAGCAGTTAATCACCTCTCAAGAGCAGCATGTTTTTTAAAACTTTTAAATTTTAAAACCCCCACATGTGTTTACTTACTCTGGGATTAGACCACATGTTCTGTGGAGAAAGCTTGAATGGGGTCTGCATTATTCAAACTGAAAGAGCCAGTGTTTTCCTTTACAATTCTTCCCAGTTTTCACCCTGGATTACTTTTATTACTTGATTGTAAGATAAATAATTAATGCACACAACATCTTTACATGTCTATCTCTTTTTCTGCCCTTTCAATATGACATTAGTAAACATTTCAAGGCATTGCTTCTGACCATAAATGTTTCCACCAGAGGTGGAGGAAGTATTTACAAGCTGAATGAACATCCTGCAGACTTCAGTGCAGGATGTATCACTGCAGAAATCCTTCAGTGCAGGACTTCTTAAATGATGTTGAACCTTCAGGTGAGCTGCTAGATGCTAGAGTACATCAGAGCATTTCATACACTTCCAACAACAAAAGCATCATCTTTAGTGGTAACAGCTCCCTGAGTCAGAATAATGTGGTTTCAGACCAGTGGATTATTTATCATTCCTCTATAATTAATTGGATTCTTAAAAACAATGAAAATTATGCTTAAAGATAAGTTTATATTTTTAAGACAGAGCTCCTGATGTTTAGCCATGTTGAACAGCCACTTGGAGCACTCTTGAGAGACAAGCTGTTTCCATCTAAACTAGCTGTGCTGAAGAGTGACAGCATGCTGAAGAGGCAGGCAGAGCTGCCAACACCAAATGTCAGAGTATCCAATGAGCAGTGTTTAATAATGCTGAAATATTATTTCAAGAATTGTTGTTTCTTCCAGGGTTGCACAGCAGAAAAAAAAAAAATCTCAAGTTCAGGAGTTCAAGACAGGCAGATAGAATACAACCAGGTTTGCAGCTCACCTACCTAATATCTGAGGGAGGTACAGCAGCACACACTCTCCAAACCAGCAAACTCAAGTCTTACTTTACAAAGTGTATATAATTATTCAAATTCTTGCATCTTAGTCTTTGCAAAGTGTGGGCTTTTGTTGTCTTCTTTGGAACTGAAGTGCAGGCTAGAAGGAACAAGGAATGATCCTAAAAACACCCATACCTATGCTCTGGTGCTGTTTTTCCAGCACTGTGATAATGCCTAGAAACAGAAGCATTCCACCTTCCTTGCTTGATACCAGTGCAGCAGTTCAAAGTCCTAAAGCTCCAGCTTCAGCAGAGTGGGGAGAAGAATTTGGATATTGCCATTCTTATGCCTGCCCTGCCATTTTTTCGGGAGCTGTAGGCAACATAAGGAAATTAATGCATCCTTCAGCATTACCTGCTGGCTCCTGTAAACAGGAGTCCTGACCCCAGCACACACAGGGTGAAACTCTGGGAGGCTGCAGAAGTTACACAGCCACTGATCAGCTGCAGGTGACTCTGGCTGCAAGGTCTGCAGAATGCCTCACCGTGGCTCCCGCACCCAGCACAAGCTTGCCAGGCTCTGCTGGTTTGTTTTGTTGGGTTTTTTTTTTTTGGCTGACTGCTCAATAACACAAGCCAGCACAGTTACTGTGATTTGTTGAAGTTAAGCAAACCTCAACTACCTCGCAAGTGCCAGGAGCTTAGCCTGCATTTTGCATCCCTGCCTTTCAGATCCTGTTTACAATGCCAAAGCTTATACAATCACACAGCTTCTACAGAAGATGCCTGACTCCCCGTTAACAACCTTTATGGCCCTTTTGCAAGTTTTTTGTAATTTGCTGTTATTCTTAAAGTCCTGAGGTCAAATGAGGAGCTCAACTTTCAGTGAAGATCTCACCTTTCATTTAAAAATAAATGAAGTTTAAGAGACAAAAAGGAAACTAAGTGTTTTAAAAATTAAATCTCTATTTTCTAGACAGATTTTATGTCGGAATACCTGACTTGTGATTTTAGATACTTGAAATTGGCAACCCTGTCTAACCACACACACTATGATACTTCCACTGTGCTTTACAGCACTTCTTGCCACGGGCAGAAAGCCTTTTGCTTAATGAAGCAAAAGGCACATCTCCAGCTGCTTTCCAGCCAGTGTCAGTGCCTACAGCAGGCAACTGTAGACCTCCCTGCCACATTCCTCCCATTTCAGGGAAACATAATACACCACAGCATGCTGCCTGTCCAGACAGACTTTTTCCACTCACTTGTATTTCCTGACACACATTCATCCGAGATATGAAATTAACCAAAATCCTTCTCCAGCCAATATTATTTTAAATCAATTACACTAGCATGGGAAGAATATCACCATGTAGATTTGGAAGTGACCTACACAAAAGTGGTACAACTCTTGCTTCCTGAAAAGTGCATCAAGTGATGCTTACATCTGAATATTAGTGCAATCAAACAAAGATGAAAATTTCTCTGGTGTGTTGAAAACAGTAATATTGCACACTAGTAATAGTTACCTACTGCTGCTGCTATTCATAACCATTGGTGTAAGTCTGTAGCTATTGTACACTAATAAATATTCCAAAAGGAAGAGGTCAGACAATGGGTTTCTAAGAACTTGACACTGCTTGCAAGAGGCTTGGGAGGGAGCTAAGCATTGAACAGTGAGTGAAAAGTGCATTTACAAACCCATTCTTCTGCCAAGCATATAGGCATGGGCACCAGCTGAGATATACTTATAATGACCCACTTAAGGGTGAGAAGCAAGCTGATGAAACTCTCTTGGACTTTGCACTCATGGGGGCCTCCCTCCTGCTCACCACTCTGCTCCTCCCGAGGAGGCTACATACCATACTGTCCTTTGATGTCCCTAGGACACAGATAGTGCTGTGGGGCTCTCCTAAAATTGTTCCAGGTTGCCTCAGAAGCTGAGTTTTTCCCCAGGCTCACTGAGCTGTAAAAGCTGTAACAGCCCATAACTGGGCTCAAATGTCAATAAGCAATTTGCATCCAGGAAATCAGCAGAAAAATGAGACCACACTAAAATGTAAACAACAAAAGCGTCTTGGCATTAAATATATATAAGGTTTGTCTAAGATGGCACTTTTTTTCCTTCGCCAGACCTTTGGGTAGCTCTCTGCTATTACACCCATTTGAGAGCAAGCAGAGAAGTGCTACTCATTTCATATCCTCACTGTAGTGAAATATACCTTTTTTCAGAACTCTTCAGTTTGTGAAGCCAGATTTAAACAAAAACATGAAATCCCTGGTGTTAGTTATGCTCCCAGATCTAGACAAGTATCTAAAATGCATGCATTACCATGAACCTGATTCCAGTCTAGGGCTCACTTATTCTGAGAAAACATTCAGATGTGTCTAGAAGGATTTTACTTCAAAAGAAACCAGAAATGTGACCATCTCCTAGAGCTTTGAGGACCTGATCAGAAATATATCCAGAGTGACTAGAGGCATTGATATGGGATCTTTATCAAAACACATTCTGCTCAGTTTGAAGCCACAGAAGAATGCCAATGCAAGCAGTGCTACTCAGGTTTTGCTTCCAGTATAAGAACAACCAGGATACAATTTGTCACATTTGATTTATGAGAGAGACATATCTAGAGTCCTCTATTTTTCTTGGCCTAAGAATGCACTTTCCTATTACAGAGTTTTTTGTTACCTCCTACTGTGGCCTTGCCATTGTATCACTTGGCTGTTTTAGTCTAAGAGGAAGAGCATCTTATGAAATTATTACCTCAAATGGCAACTCATTTCACAACAATACCAATTAAATTTATCACTAAGACCCCTTCTTTTAAAATTAGTATTGATTGTTAAAATTATTCTCAAGTAAATAATCTCACAGCTCTCCTTGGATCATTTTACAAGTCTCATATTCCTTC